TAACAAATTAAAAGGAAATGATCATTTAATTAGAAACTAAAACACAATTATGCTCACTCTCATAACGCGCACACACACACACACACACACACACACACACACACACACACACACACACACACACACACACACACACACACACACACACACACACACATTGCAGATAAACTCATGGACATACTCGCAGGCTGAGTCATAAAGTGACAGGAGACACTAAGGAAGAAGGTGTGACGTTATTTCCACACAAAATAATCTGGTAGGAATGACTCTGAATAACATGCCACATTGCATTCTGATGAAGGTGTTTCATGTTAAAATATCTGCACAAATATACAGTACATATACATACATATGATACTGTATATGTAGAGAAATATAAAATAAAAGCAGCCCAGACTCAGACACTTCAGGCCTGTATGAGGATTGTGTTTGTGTTAATAATCCCCTGAGTCTTTGTTGACAGGCGTCAGTCTCTTTGCTGAGAGACTCTGATAGAGTATTGTATCTGCCCAGCAGGTCACAGGGACACACCCAGCAGCTCTATTCTCTTCAGTGTGTCTGTCGGACCCTGTTACAGTAATGACCTGTCTGGCGGCCACCAACTGTCTCTTGGCTGAAAAAAAACGTCCGCAGTCATAATAAAAAACACACAGACAGTTTCTCTTTTTGACTTTCTGCACACCGACATGAGACCTCATCCTTCTCGTTTGGGACTTTAATTATATTACTGCAAAATAAATACATCAGTTAAAGCCATGCAAATGTTTTTTTGGTTTTATGTGGAAAGTTTTTAAGATATTTATATCTGGGATTTCTGCCACCAATATAATAATTGGGGGAATGCAATTTTGCTCATGGTGCACACCAGTGGTGGAATGTAAAATATACTCCAGTACAGTACTTTTTCAGGTACTTGTACTAAGTATTTGTTTGTTTAGCTAATAATAGTGATATATGTAAGATACATTTTCAATTCAGGACGTTTACAAGTAATGGAAAATTTCTATAGTGTGGTATTTTTAGTTTTTACTTACATTAATGATGGTTGTATCTAGTTTTGGATTTATTGGGTTATGATTACTGAATACAATGGAGATGAATGGAATTTTAGTCACGACGCTCACAACTTGACTATCAACATGTCCAGAAACAAAGTCCTGGTTCCTCTGAATTATCCACAGATCTCAAGGTGAGCTATTTTCACAAGCAGGCACTATTTCTTCTTGAGAAAATAGTTCCAATGAAAGATAATTGGATGTGGACTATCTCCATGGCTAGACACCACTAGAAGTAGGTGAAAATTATGTTTAAATTTGACCTTTTAAAGATTTCCTTTAGCTACAGTCTGCATGTAGGCCACGTCTGGATCCTATCTAAAGTAGCACAATTGCTGAAGATGCTAATCTGTGAGACATACAGGTGAAAAGCTACTGAAACTCCAGTGCAGGACTGGCCTGATGAGGTTATAGTAATCTGATAGGCCCAATTAGTGCTTCATTAGAGGTTGAGCAGACGGACATAATGAAGTGATCAGACAGATAATTCATTCAACCAGAGGTTTTTTTTTATGGAATTACATTTTCCAGTTGCAGATAAACCTTCTCTTTGTACTTTTTCTTTAGGATGAGAAACTGTGAAGCAGCTCACTTCCTGTTTCAGTTTCCTCCTCAGCTCCAGACAGAGCAGTTGTCGGATGAGCATTATCTGCAGACAGCAGTCCTGCATTTACCCAAACTGCACTTGAGACAGGAAGCTATCGATGACCATGTGGGAGGTAAGAAAAGAAAAACCTAATTATGGCTCACAAAATCTCAAGAATGTTTCAGGCAGGTCAGCTCAAATCTATTTTAGGTTTAATATAAACTCCAGCTATGTGGCCTGTCAATATTGGATATACGGAGTTGGCATATTTACATATTTAATTTCTAACGAGGAAAGTGTTTTATGGTTGAGGAATGTTTCTTCTGAATTGCAGCATGTTTGACATGTTGAGATTCCTCACATTCTCCACCTTTGATAAGCTCAAACATGCCTCTGTGAGAAGATTGCTGATATTCGTGGACGACTAAAGCGACATAAATTCACACAAGAAACACATTTTATCTGCAGTTTATATTTCTGTTACACTCTTAGCCTTAAGGGGAAAACTGTCATCTTGAGGAGAGTCACTAGTAACTCTACATAAAAGAGGAAATCTTGATTTTTAACATCACAACACAGGATTACTCTTAAAAACGGAAATATTTGTGCCAATTTTTATTCCAGTTTCACCTCTTCCACATTCCCTCTCAGTTGTTTTTATGTAATGTAAATAAACCAGGAGCCTGTAAGAACACTCCTGTAAATAGTTATGAGTCTCATAAATGTAACAAAGATATCTGACTTGTGCAGCTGCCATTTCCATCACTGTTTATTGTTGATGATATTTTCACCTGAAACACTGATATCATCCCGTTGTTTTTCCTTCAGGAAGTTCCTGCAACTGGTCATTAATTGTTGCTGAGGGGCCAAAGTTTGAGGAAAACAACAAGTTGAACTAACAGCTTTGAGTTCAAGCTACTAAAAGAGGGAAAACAAGTACTGATAAACCACTGAGATTTCCGTATTATCATGTGCGCTTCACATTATAATATTGCACTGCTGAACATTTCTGCATTTCACATTGCAGTGTGTTGCGCAATATTGCCATGGGAATTGAACTGACGTCAGATTTCTTCCGCTCATTCAGGTGGCGTTGGACTGCAGCAGGTCTTCACTTTCCTAATCAGCTCTTCTGCTCTCTCGTCCAAGAAAGGTCATCCTTCCCTCAGCCGCAGTGCTCATCCATTTCCTTCCAACACCCCAAGATCTGATTTCCATCACTAACTCATAACATTTCCCTCTGCAGACTTATTTCCATAAAAAAATCCCCAAGATGCCTTGCGGTTTTTTTGAACTATGATATTTTCAGGAAGTTAATGAGAGATAATCCCCCTCTCAGCACGTGACCTGTTTATGGTGGAGTTTTGATTCACTTTAGTTTCAGATTCAACAGAATTAAAAAAAAATTTAAACACACTCCATAAAAGTTAAAGATAGATTACAAACAATATTTTATAAAAGCTGTTTGTATTTCTATGGAATACAAACTTTTCTGATTATAAATTGTTGTTGATACAATAAAACAAATGCTGTTTGATTATTAATGAGGTAAATCCAGAGTGTGAAACTTTTTATGAGCAACGATTATGTAAGACAGATTTAAGCACAATTATAGATGTGGACACCGACTCTCACTCTGATAACTGTATATGGTGCTCTGCACAGAGAGTGCGTCATCAAATGTTTACAGAAAGGAGTTCCATCACCCAAAAAATTGCTGAGCTGGTTTGATCTTATTTTACAAACTTAACTGCTGGATAATAAACTCATTGATATTGACAGTGTGTGGGATTTTTTTGTTTAATACACATTTATTTACCTTTACCTTTTTAATTCACATTTATTTACCCTTTTAACATTCTTTGTTTTTTTCAAATGTGTAATTTGCTTTAAATGGATTTCTGAATCAATAGATCAATCAATAATTAAAAATGTGTGGTCAGAAAATATAAAGTTCTGTCCAAAGGATGTCAAAAATGCCAAATAATAATTTTTCAGTGTTTATTTCTGTGTGGGAGCATTAAAAATGTTCACCTTCGCAGCACCTGACATGTTAAATCAGTCCAGGACAGAGTTCAACTCTGAGGCTCTGACACAGAAAATATACGGCAGGGAAGTAAACATTTTCGTAAATGGGTAAACATTTGGCAGCCAAGTCGAATGAGTTTGGAGATATGTCGATTTTCAGGCATATTTTTAGAGCCTTTGTGAAATGTTTTAAAATGAAACAGGAAGTTGGGAAGTTTATGCCCCTGGCGCCCACCCTACTTCCCTCTCTGAGCCAAGAAAGACATGGATGGAGATAAAACAGTGTGTCAACAGTTTGGCTTCTGCCAAAGGGAGGTTAGTATAGCTCTAACATTGTTTAATGTAACAGATATTTAAAATCATTTGCAGTCCTGTGTCATGAGGAGTCACACTGTGAAAACAGATGTTTTCTGTGTATCTGGAGCTTTTTTTTATTCTTTACTGAGATAAACTAGTACTAAGTCCATGTACCATGCAATAACTATAAAGTACATATCATATAGTAAACATGGATCACAATTTATATAAAGATTTTGATAACACCTTACTTTAACTTCCCTGTTTTTAGCATTTATGATCAGTCTATAAACATTAAATCCCTCAAAAACCCACTGTAATAATGTAATTGTGTGTATAAGGAAATTCTTTAAGTGTTCATTAATATACAGCAGACTCCCATATGTTTATACAGCGAGAGGTGTTATTGTTGTTGACAAATACAATAATAAACACTTCATATACTGCTTATAAGTGCTAAATTGGAAGACTTAAAATAAAGTGTTGCCAAACTTTTAAAACAAAAACATTTATTGGTCATTTTAGGATTAATTGAAAATGAATCAATGTACTGTTTGACCCCGTTTACCTGTAAATGTCCATATATAAATATGTAATTTAGGCTTATAGATGCCAAATAGTACATGTTTACATCATAATATAAAATGTCAGAAACAGGATGTTTACCAAAATAAATGAACGGTCTCAACCTGAGATAACCCCTGATGATGTCATTAGGGTTCATTTCGGGCTGGGCTGTCAGATTAGGAATTTATACCAGAAAGGTGTTGGGTTTTTTGAAAGACACACGCATGTGAGGGTCTAGTCTTGCCCTCTGCTGCATCATTTCTGACCGTTCTTTATAAAATCTGTCTCAACGTTATGAAAGTGTGATTCTAGTCACTGGATTGACCTTTTAACACCTGAAATAATTTTTTTTTTTAATTGTTTAATCTTGCTGTTGGTCTTATTTTTAAGATATTAATAAAGGCATGAACCATGTAAGTTGAATTCATTATTTATTGATACATTATAATTACACCGGAAGACAGTACAGCAGTCATTTAAGAACACAAAATGCACACAAAAAAACCCCACAATATATACTTTCAGCAGTCATTATCAAATGTCACACTGTTATTTAAATAAATACACAATTTTTTGTAGTTTCACGACAGTAAGCGTCCATCTCTGTGGCTGCTCTGCTGGTGGTAGCTGCTGGGATCCACCGACTCAGGCCTGTGAACGTTCGGGCCCAGGTACTGTTCGAACTCGCTGCGGTCCAGATCATACAGCATGTCCAGCTGAACCTGTTCCAGATAAAACTCCAGGGAGGGCCCAGCAGGGCACAGTAGGTCCTTGTAAACCCTGGACTCCCCCTGATCCACATAGTGACCTGCAGAGTTTGAGAAACTGCACTGCATCTGCCCGTGCTGACTGCCAAAATACACCTTAGGCTCTGCAGGGTATGTAGACAGATTTGGGAACGGGTCTGCTGCTGCGGCGGCTGCTCCTGCATTTGGAAAAACTGGAGTGTTATGGTACCTGCCGCACAGAGGGGTGAAGTTAGCTGGGGAGTTTGGGAAAGCGGGCACGTTCGGGTAGGATTGCTGCTGGTTCTGGAGCAGATAGGTGAGGTTGTAGGGCACCGTGAAGCCTGAGCTGCAGAGTGAGGGGAGAGAAGAGGAGGCGTCTGCACCCTGAGGCTTGGAACTCTTCTTCAGCTGCTTCCTCCTGCGGGGCCGGTACTTGTAGTTGGGATAGTCAATGGTGTGCTGGACCCTCAGACGCTCAGCCTCCTGCATGTATGGACGCTTCTCAGCTAGAGACATGGCCTTCCAGGTTTTTCCTGCAAGAACACAGTAGGGTTAATGATCTGCACACTCATGACTTTAAAAAAATTCACCAATGACAGCTGATAAAAACTTAAATGTGAATCTCAATCAGCTATTTTGGGTTGAAATTGAGCTCTTATTTAGTGCTGTGCCCCATTTTCTAGGCCAAACATTAAACATTTCCAAAAGCTTATTTTAGGAGGCAATATTTGATCTCCAAAGGACATAAAATGTGCACATAAATACCATTTTCAGACTGTCAATCAAATTCTTACCGAGTATTTTGCTCAGATCTGTGTTCTCCAGGTCTGGGTTAAGATGTGCCAGCCGCCTACGCTCCTCTTTAGTCCAGATGATGAAGGCGTTCAGGGGCCTCCTGACTCTCTGCTGCCCTGAGACAGACTTTGCCTCGGGGCTGGCGCAGCTGTAGTCCGAGTTCACGGACAGCGGGCTGGGGGGCCCTGAGCTCGGGGAGCGCACCTCGGTCATCTGCTCCACCTCTGCGCAGCCCGAGTCTTCGCTTTCGAACATGGCGCCGTTTGTGCAGAGCTGGAAAACAGCGGGGTCGTGGCTGAAACGCATGGCTACAGGTGGGGATGATGGTATTTTGGCTCTGCTGCTGTCATCCTCCTGGTATATGTAGGCGCTCCACCAATAGGAGGCCGGGAGGAGTGGATTTAAGGTGTGAATTCCTGGAGTTTTCTCGGGTCAGTGATAGGCCCATTTGACGCCCCAATCAACGACCTCACGAAACTTCAGATGGGGATTCATGAGTCTGTAATAATCTACAGTTAAGCTATCATATAGCCTAATATCAAAGGCATTATTTCCTCTCCAGATTGTGCACCCGGTGTTTACTTTTTTGCCTGACATAATTAAAACACAGAGTATAAAGACTACTTCATATTAAGTATAGGCAAAAATGATGAAAGTAAAACCTGCTGTCAAGCTGTATTTTTATTTAGATATAAGAGAGTTTAGCTCTTATTTACCCTCTTTTCATTGTTTCAGACAAATGTGTTTGGATTTTCACAATGTTTTGTGCTGCTGGGCCTTTTTAATGGCTCCTATATTTTTGCATAGGCCTATTTATTGACACTACCTGGCACGTGGGAATGGCTCTTTAATTGGAGGATAATGTGGTTTCAGTCTTGATTCTCTTAAAAACCATATTAGGAAAATCAAATTACAGCTTTGCCTATTGGAGAGAAATGGAATCTAATCAATAGGTCCTGAAAGGCAGGCAGGGTATTGATAGAACATCAACTTATTCAGGAGGCAGGGCTGGTTACTAATTACATTGTGGCTCCCAGATCTTATCGGCCATCCACCGTCTTTATCAAAGTGCATTTTACAGGACTGAAACAAACATGATCAAGGCGTGTTTATTACACGATTACCACGCACACATATTTGCCCGACACACAAACTGATAGGTGTGTACAAAGGAGCTTGATGCGCTCCTCCTTTATGACATCAAAAAAAAAAAATAAAAAAATACTAAACTAGAATAGCATCTTTCTTACTTTAATCCATTTGAGTTCAAAGATGAGGAAAAATTTACCCGTTTAGACTTCCCAAAAAGGAAACAGCAAGCTATGGCGCTAAATAAGACAAAAGTGTATTGAACTATTGTGTATTGACTCACAGAAACTATAGAAGAATGGCTGCAGGTTTTCTCTTTCAGCCTGTAGTTTAGATATCTACAGCATTTCTTTTGTCAGAGCTCCTCAAGTTGTTTCATTTAAAATAAAACCGCTTAACATGATATTTTGAAGGTATAAAACATTTAAATTATCATATGAATACGATGAGAAATAAAAGTAACATATAGCCTATGCCATTACTTGCTCTTGAGTACACAGACACACTTGTTGGGGAGTTATTTATATTTATATTATGTCTCACTTCATAGATATCGGAATAAACACATTTCTGAGCACTAGAAACGCTCGTTAAATAATGAGGTTATTATGGTGACATAAAGCACAAGATATAGGCCTACATATAAGTTAGGTAACGCTATAAAGTCTCTATTGAGAATAAATCCCTGGGACTACTATGTATGACTGAAAATCACATATCTACAGGCCAATAAGAATATTATATTGGTTATTCTCTAACTTTAAAAGAAAAGTATTTAAAATGTTGTGTATTCACCATTATTGATCTCTCCAGAAACTCTTGATGTGTGTGATCCCACTTTAATATAATAGAAGGCCATTACAGGTGCTCGCTTCCTCTGTGCGGTTTCAATGAATATCTGGCAACAAACATTACGCAGACAATAGATGCCATTATGCTGACAGCGGCAACGTTACATCTGCAATACACGGACTGACTGGCCCACGGTAATACCTGCACCTGCACTGCTTTGTCCCGGCAGTCGAGTCACTTATGCTGGCTCTTTAAATTGTAAATTCTGTGTATTATGGTTTGGAGCAGAGAGGGTTAATACACAAGGGAAATAAGGACAGTTTGGTCCTTCTTTTTTGTTGCTGTGATCCAAAAGTCAAATTTACAACAACATAAACACCACAAACGCGCAGAAACTCATGCACACTTTAATAGTAGGCCTATAGGAGCATTTGTTAAGAGCATTTTGGACTTTGTTTTAAACCCTGCTAAAAGAAATACGTCAGGCCTAATGGAGCTTGATATCTTAATCAAAACGCCGGATCAATACTGTGCCATTGGGAAATTCAATAGCAGAATTGATAAAGAATGTTCTTTAAACTGTGTTCATCATCTCCCTTTGACAAATAGACTTAAACCGTCTTGTATCGGTCGAAACTGATAAAGTGGCGTGTGGCTTCCAGGGGGCAGATAACGTTCAACGTCTCAGGAAATGTAGCCTATGTAAGCCTGAGAAATTGAGATGTTTAAGGTTTATTTGAAAAATAATTATTCATCCAAATAAACCCAGGCCGTCTATAGTTTGTTAGTAGGCTATTTGGTAAAGGGGGGTGGGGTGGGGCCTTTTTTCACATCTTGTCAGAATTAGAGATTGAATCCACATCCGCGGTGTCAAACGGCACGCACGCTCCAATGCAGCGCTGCGAAGCACTAATGGATTTAATCAATTAGCTTGAACGACGCAGCGTGAATACAATAACGTCAGTTTCGGCTGGGTTTATCTGTGAATCGAGTCGGCTAAATATTAGACAATGTTATGGGTGAAGGGGAAGGTTTATATCTAGCTTTAACGTTTAAATATATTGTAGTTTTAACCATACCATTAACCTTGTTCTGCAGTCATTTCCCATCATCATTTGTTGTATTATTTGAAAGAAAAACGTGTAATTTGTCCTTTATTCAGGCCCTTTTAATGAATCCTAATCTATAAAGTGACAGTAGGTTATCATTGCATTGTCTCATAGCCAAACAAGCAGAATGCTTGTGAGTGGGCACTGTGCTTTCTGAATGGGGATTGTTCTCTGTGGCTTTCTGATCACAATGTGCCATTGTATTGGACAGAACTCATATATGGGACACTCCTCTTCTTCTTCTTCTTCACTTTGGATCAGTGATGGCCAGGCTGGCACAGGTAGAGCTGTGTGCACTACAGGAGCAAGGTGATAACTTTATTTTCCTAAAGGCCCTGCTGGATTCTGGCAACTCTGGATGATGTTTGGGTTGAACATTGGCTGGATTTAGAGGACATATCCTTTTCTAGGCCCCGTGACCCTGTATGCAGGATAAGCGGTTGACGATGGATGGATCCTTTTCTATGGGGTGGACGTTTGTCAGTGCAGCTGCAGGACCACTTGACTCCAGGCTCTTCTTTTCTCTCATTACGGATATGGTGCCGGATTGGAGACACATCCACAGACGGAATAGGGGACAAACTACAGGAGGGTAAAGCAGGAGGCCTCTGATAATGAAGCACTGTATTCCAGCCTGTCCTCATGTCACTTCAGTGCCATCCCACCGGCTTTCCTTACAGTGGTTCATTCATAAAGAGCTGCATTGTTGCATAGCTGGTAGGTGTGAAGGGGATATAATACTCTTGTGTCAGGAGACCGTGATCTTCGCAGCGAGGGGACTGTATAGCATTGTGTTGTATTGTATTGGCACAGCAGGCCAGCATCAAGATATACTCTGTCAAGACTCAGACACCATTCTATGCAGTGGACTCTGCCCACCCCCCCAACACACACCTCTACTTCTTAATCACATATTTGAGCAGATTCAACAGTATAGGCCGAGGTTCTGAGTGCTAGCCTCCACACTCCCTGTGTAAACAGCGCCCTGCCTGGGCCTACGTCAGGCCAGCTGAGAGGATTACATGCCCCCTGGAGTAGACAGGCTTAATGTAGCCTCATTAGCAGAACACAGTGATGCCCCCACCTCTGAGCAGAGATAACAGGCCAGGTCCAGCCCGACTTCAAACACAGCTCGAACTTTTATCCCAGGTGGTGCAACGTGCAGGGTGCAAAGCCAAAGGAGAACTGATGATCTGCACTTTTGCACTGGTTTTATCCATCTCACATCATCTGAAGTGATTGAACCGTTTTGACAATTGATTAGTCATTTATCTTATTTATCAGGCAAAAATGCCAAACATCCAGGGTCTCACAATGAGAGGATTTACTGCTCCTCTGTGTTTAATATCATTAAAAATTCTTTGTATTTGTGTTTTAGCCTGTTGGACAGACCTAAAAAGCAATTTGAAAATATCACCTTTCACTCTTTGAACTTTGAACAGAAAAGCTCAAACAGGGGTGACATAACTGAGAAAAAAATAACATCAAATAAATGAATTAAGACCTAAGTGAGTAGATAATACGACAATAAACTGAATCAATTAAAAAATAAGTTAGAAATAAGAATATGAGATAAAGTGTGAGAAAGGTGATTATTTAATATACATTTCTGAGCTGTCAAGTATATCCTAATTACTGTTAAAATGTCATATAGATTTTTAGAAAGACGGGCAATTCATGGCTTTTTGAACTTCCAAAAAACTATTTTGTCATTTTTTTAAATATACAATCTAATCTTAAAAGTAATCTAGCGAGTAACTGACATGTTAAAATCCAATTTGATTTATTATTTAGTCGACAAATGACTTGATCAGTTCAAGAAAACATCCATCAAATCTTTAGTTTTGCTCTTTTTCGCCCACTTAAATTGTAGTCACACTGTTTTCTAATTGTATTGCATCATGCAGACTTGCTGAGACTGAGACTGGCTAATGAGACAAAGCTCCACTCATGCTGAAAAACAGCACTATTCTTTGTAAATTAGGAATTGTATTCTATTACTGATAAGACTCTTATCTGAGGACTTGAATACATCTTCCAACTCTTTTATTGTCCAGACAGCTGAGACTTGTGTGTCAGTGGCTTACTCCCACAGCAGGCCATTTATTACATCCATGGTTTTTGGACACAAATTGTCTTCAGACTCCCCTACAACATGATGCGTAAGTCTGACCTTGATCTAACACCAGCTCTACACGTCTCTCCTCAGCAGACAGGCGGAGAAGGAGTGCTGCATTTACCCGTAATTAGCTCTAATTATTAACTGGAACTAGACTGAAACCTGTGAGACACCATGATATCTGTGTCTGTCTTAAATGGCTCATTCAAGGCAGCAGACAACCAAAACAATCTGGCCTGCTCAGCTCCAGCAGCGATGCTTGGATGTTTAATTAAATAGTGTGAACTGTTTAGACTCAGACATTAGATTATTTGGAGCAGAAACCAGAGATAAAATGCTTTCCTAAAACAGACTAACAAATCGTCTTATACAAAGTGAATGAATGTTTTCTTAATTGTAATTGATGGAGAAAATACTTGATTTGATTTCTTCATTCTTTCACACAGTTTTCTGCAGCCACACGTACACAGAGTAGATTTTTGGGCCTTTCCACAAACTGTTAGCTCACTCTTTTTCTCTCTTTTGCTCGTCTGAGACCTGATACGAATTCAAAAGGATCTGCTGCTTTGAAGATAAGCACTGTAGTTCTGCCATAAACAATGATTGTGCTGTTTCTTTCCTGTGGCG